CCCGTGCCCGCCCTCATCCCCGCAGCCTGAGAACATCATGCTGCAGGAGAAGGACGTCCCCAAGCCCCGCATCAAGATCATCGACTTCGGGCTGGCCCAGCGCCTGGAGGACGGCGTCACCTTCAAGAGCCTCTGCGGGACCCCGCAGTACATCGGTATGGGGTTGGGGGAGTCCCCGGGGGGTCCCCAAGCAGCCCCGCTCGGTGGGGGGCAGCAGGGATGCTCCGTGGGGACGTGGCGAAGGGACCCCCGGGGTGGGGACAGGACGGGGTACGCGGGGAGGGAGGTGGCCGGGACCATGCTGTCCCCTCTGATGTTCCCTCCCCGGCTCTGCGTTCGCCCCCAGCTCCCGAAGTCATAAACTATGAGCCGCTGAGCTCTGCGACCGACATGTGGTGAGGAGCGGGGACCCGGGGGGGCGAAGGGCTGAGTTGGGGGTGGGTGGGGACCCCCCTGGGTGCCACAGGGCGTGGGGGGGGACCCTGGGGAGGGCAGCGCCTGACCCCCCACCTCTGCCTTTCAGGAGCATCGGGGTCATCACCTACATCCTGTGAGTACGCGGCGATGCTCCCTGCGGCCAGGGGAAAAGGAGGCACGGGGACACCGTGATGTGGTGAAGCCCAGGTGCTGGGGCGGGTGAGCCGGTGCTGTCCCGGCACTCAATGGCTCCGTCATGTCCCCGCAGGCTCAGCGGCTTGTCCCCCTTCCAGGGCGAGACGGATGCTGAGACCCTCTCCAATGTTGTGGCCGGTACCTACGAGTTTGAGGAGCGCTGCTTCAGCCAGACCTCCGAGATGGCCAAGGACTTCATCCGGCAGCTGCTGGTGAAGGAGCCAGGGTGAGTCTCGATCCTCATCCCATCGCTGTCTCCATCTCCATCCGCATCTCAGTTCCCAGCCTCATTCCCATCCCCATCCCAATCCCCATCTCTGTCTCCATCTCCTCCTCATTCCCGTCCCCATTCTCATCACCATTCCCGTCCCCATCCCGATCTCCATCCCCAACTCCATCTCCATCATCTCCACCATCCCCGTCTTCATCCCCATCTCGACCATCCCCATCTGAATCATACCCATCTTCATCCTCATCTCCATCATCCTCATCATCTCCGTCATTCCATCATCTCCACCATCCCCATCTTCGTCCCCATCTCAGCCATCCCCATCTTCATCCTCATCTCCATCTTCTCCATCATTTCCATCATCCCATCATCTCCACCATCCCCACCTTCATCCTCATCTCAACCATACCCATCTCAGTCCTTCCCATCTTCATCCTCATCTCCATCATCTCCATCATCCCCATCATCTCCATCATCCCATCCTCTCCACCATCCCCATCTTCATCCCCATGTCAATCATCCCCATCTTCATCCTCATCTTGACCATCCCCATCTGAATCAATCCCATCTTCATCCTCATCCCCATCTTCATCCTCATCTCCATCATCCCCATCATCTCCATCATTCCATCATCTCCACCATCCCCATCTTCGTCCCCATCTCAATCATCTCCATCTCAATCATCCTCATTTTCATTCTCATGTCCATCATCCCCATCTCCACCCCCATCCCCATCATCCCCGTCTCCATCTCCGTCCCCATCATCCCCTTCCCCGTGGTGGATATGTGGGACCAGGACCCTCACTGCCCCCCAACCGTCTCATCCCGCTGTGCTGCAGGCACCGCATGACGGCGACCGAGTGCCTGGTCCATCCCTGGATCAAGGTGAGAAGGACAGGCGGGGGTGAGGGGGTGCCAGACCCCCGGCAGTGGGGTGGGGACACAGTGACAACGCCGTGTCCTCACCCCCACCAGCCCCTGAGCCGGAAACAGGCGGCAAACCGGAGCCGTTCCTCCATCAACATGAAAAACTTCCGCAAGTTCAACGCTCGGAGGAAGTGGAAGGTGAAGGGGGGTCCCTGAGGTGGGGGGGTGGGGGGGACACACCCAGAAATGGGGTCCCACCGCCCGTGAGGGGTCCCCGGGGGAGCTCAGGCTGTGCTCCATCCCAGCACCGACTGCGTCTCGGGGGGTCTGTGTGTGGGAGGGAACATAATGCTGCGGTGGGGGGGAGTCAG